TGAAAATTAGAATATTTAACCCTGGGTTAATTGACCATGATATTTATTAAATGTTTATATTATGAAAAAATTGATGTAACATAAGGACAAATATAGTAAGTACCACTTGTACTATATAATAATCTTCTGGAAGCGGTTAAGAGATGGTGCAAGATGAAATATTAAAAGCCAACTTCCAAAAGCAACACAATTTATATTCTAATCAATTAATTCATGATACCTACCAACTTTTATCACTTTTAGGTGATAACCACATCTTCCTGCCAATCCGTGTCACCTTAGAAGGATGCAAAGTGTGAACGCTGAACCTCACAAAATGTGCTAATTTTTGTACACTAAGTTTAAAACATGGGTATTGCCTTTACCCAATTTCAAGTAATATTTTATCCTGTTTCTTGTTTTTTCTTGTTAGGTTCATTGAGAACACTCCCAACTTCTACATTCTTATTTCAGTTGGGTCAAAAGAGTCCTTTGTTGTCTTACCGTCCAGAACGATTTCAAGTACTTGCTGAATGGGCTGAACAACAGCTTCATGCAGTGGAAACCATCCTTTTTCATCGGCTTCATCTAACGCATATTTACATTTCACATATTCCTGGAGCTCTAGAATATGACCTAAATGAAACACATAGGCTGATAACAAGTCTCTGTGTTGGGAAGATGGANAGGTAGAATATACAGGATATATATTAATTTGTAAGAAAGAAAATGTCTGAAGTAAATTAATTGGCTTCTTCTGTAGCCTGGGCTCCACTGGCCAGGACAATCCTGTGGCCATCAGACTAGACAAAGGTGACGCATCTTCAGAGGGTGGGCAGAGAGAGAGCCTGAGTGCAAGAAAACCCTTAATAAGTGTCAGATAATAACAAATCGGATATACAGCACTCAGCAAGTCACTGTGTAACATGGCTATACCACATCAAAGTACCATGGTCAGGGCCAGATGGCTGATGGGCAAGGAAGGTGCTGGAGGGACCAAAAGTGTGAGTTTGGGTGGGACAGGGGCCATCTAAGGATATTCCAAAAATAAAGACAAGGATGATGGGATTAGACTAAGAAAAATTAAAAATGGCACTGCACAGAAAAATAAAATGAACAGCACTTTGTTTCTCTTACCTCTATATAAGCTAAGGGACTGTGAGTGGCAAATTTCAAAGTAGCCCCTTCCATAGAATCAGGAAGAAAAGTGAGAAAGTGTCATGGATGATGTGTCATGGATGATTTTCTTATGACACCTAAGTGTGACTACATGACAAAATCCGAACTCGCAGTGTTGGAATGAAAATGCTGTGTGCAATGTCAAGGTCATGTTCTTAAAGGTGAAGATGCTGTTTCAAGGCCGCCTCTTTCCTCCTTCCTGCTGCCTGGGAAATGGTGACATCTGAACCGCCTGTGGAATGGTGGCAAAGCCACCTGCCATCCTTGGGCCACTTGCTCTGAAATGTTGTGTGAGAGAGAAGTGAGCTTCTTTTTAAGTTGTTTGTCAGCTTTGGGTATCTGTGCTTGTTTTTTATTTGTCACAGAAGCTTTGCCTGTATGTACCTCAACTATAATAATTAGATTTGTTTGTCCCATCTAATCTGAATTTGGGAAGGCTGAAAGCTCTGACATGGGACAAGAGTAAGCAAGAAGAAATCATATCAGAATGGCAGCAGGCTGTGGTGACACTATTCATTTAACAAGTTCTGTCCAGAGGCAGAAGGCCTGCCTATGAGATTT